CGCCGCCGCGAGCGCCGCGGGATTTTCCCGGTTCCCATGGTGCACTCCACCTTCCTGCTGGAGCTGCGGCGACAAAGCTCCGCCCACTTGGCCTTTTACCCGCCCCCCATTGGCTACCGCGGCCCCTTTGATGACATCTTGGTCTTTGCTGCTTCCTGTCGGGAGGCTGGTGAGGAATTGTGGGAAATTTCGGGAATTTTCGGGATTTTTTTGGGAATTTTTTGAGATTTTTTGGGATTTTTTTGGGATTGGGATGGGTTTAAGATGGCGTTGAGTTGGGTTGGGTTGAGTCGAGTTTGGTTTGGTTGAGTTGGGATTGGTTGGGATGAGTTGGGATTTGGGATTTTCGGGAATTTTGGGAAATTTTGGGAATTTTTTGGGATTTTTTGGGGGCTTGGGATGGGTTCAATATGGCGTTGAGTTGGGTTGAGTTGGGTTTGGTTGAGTTGGGTTTGGTTGAGTTGGGTTTGGTTGGGTTGGGTTGGGTTTGGTGGAGTTGGGTTTGGTTGAGTTGAGTTGGGATTTGGGATTTTGGGGTTTTTTGGGGATTTTTTGGCATTTTTTTGGGATTTTTTGGGATTTTTTTGGGAGTGGGATGGGTTCAAGATGGCGTTGAGTTGGGTTGAGTTGGGTTTGGTTGAGTTGGGATTTGGGATTTTTGGAATTTTTGGGAATTTTTTTTGGTTTTGGGGATTTTTTGGGATTTTTTTGGGATTTTTTGGGATTTTTTTGGGATTGGAATGGGTTCAAGATGGCGTTGAGTTGGGTTCAGTTGAGTTGGGTTGAGTTGGGATTGGTTGGGTTGGGTTTGGTTGGGATGAGTTTGGGTGGAGTTGGGTTTGGTTGAGTTGAGTTGAGTTGGGATTTGGGATTTTGGGGTTCTTTGGTTATTTTTTGGGTTTTTTGGGACTTTTTTGAGAATTTTTGGGATTTTTTTGGGGGTTGGGATGGGTTCAATATGGCGTTGAGTTGGGTTGGGTTCGGTTGGGTTTGGTGGAGTTGGGTTTGGTTGGGTTGGGTTGGGTTTGGTTGAGTTTGGTTGGAGTTGGGTTTGGTTGAGTTGAGTTGAGTTGGGATTTGGGATTTTGGGGTTTTTGGGGTATTTTTTGGGTTTTTTGGGAATTTTTTGAGATTTTTTGGGATTTTTTTGGGATTGGGATGGATTGAATATGG